AAGACACTGGTCACCCTTCGTGCAAGCTCTGGCCACTCAAGCCCTCTCTCTTGGCTTGAGTCAGGGCACCCCAGCCCCTCTCTATCTGGCTGGCAGCTCTGTGTCTCAGTGACTCTAATCCCTCTTTATCATTTCTAGTCTCGTCTTTTGTAGATGGGTAATAGGGTACAGGGAAAGTTCTGGCTTTGTTCTTTATTAGTAAGTCACCCATTTAACATCTAATTACTGTTATATCTAGGAAGGACCAATAGTCAAGGATGACAAGGAAGCCAGAAGAAGGAACAGGATCATTATCTGTCCTGAGCTCAAGTGAGGTGCCCTGTGGGGACTCTCAGAAACCACTGGGATGACTTTGGGAGGTATGCTGCTTGTTGAGGGCTGCCATAACAAAATGCCATAGGCTGGGGGACTTACAACAGCAGAATTTTATTTCCTCACAGTTCTGGAGGCTAGAAGTCAAAGATCAAATTGTCAGCAGGTTTGGTTCCTTTTGAGGCTTCTCCCCTTGGCTTGCAGATGGCTGCCCACTTGCTGTGGGCATGGTCTTCTTGATATATGGATGTGCCCCAGGGGTCTCCTCCTCTTTTTATAAGGATCCATCAGGTTGGATCAGGGCCTCACCCTAATGGCGTCATTTTAACCTAATCACCTCTTTAAAGACCTTATCTCTAAGTACAGTCAGATTCTGCAGTACTGGGAGTTAGAATGTCAACATAGGATGTTGGGGGAGCCCTATTCAGCCCGTACTAGGAAGAGAAGGCTGAGGCTGGGATTTTCTGGCCCCGTGGGTAGATGGGTGCAACCTTGAGGGTGCTGGCCTTCCCCAGCACACACTCACCCAATGAGCTTCCAGGTGGCAGTGCCTGGAGTCCTGCAGGCTGACCAGAGGGGATGACCAAGCTCATTACATTTAGGCTAATTCAGTGCATTGGAACTCCCAGTTTGGTGAGACTTGAGGACTTTGAAGGTTTGTACACCTATCCAATCTTCCAAAGGGCAAATCCAACCTTAAGAGTTACAGTTACTTTCTACAACATTTAATTAAGTTAACCTTTCTTCTTTAAAAAGTAACAAGGAATTCCCAAGACAACTAGTCCTAACCATCTAATATCAGATTAGAAACACGCTTACTTCTGTGTCTACCCTAGTGAAGTCAAGTAGAAAATTGAGCAATTACATGTGTGTTTGCTTAAATTATAGAAACAATTATCTTAATAGGCCACATTGTTTTGTCTTTGTAGATCCAACAAGTGGCTTATTTATTTAGATGCATAGCAGTTAAAATTTTTTTTAATTAAGTTTTTCATTTTAATTCCAGTACAGTTACATACAGCATTATATTATTTTCAACAATGAGCCAGTTCTATATATTTCAGTGCTCATCATGTTAAGTGTACTCTTCAATACTCACCACCTATTTATTTATTTATTTATTTATTTCCCACGTTTTTATTTTATTTTTGGGACAGAGAGAGACAGAGCATGAACGGGGGAGGGGTAGAGAGAGAGGGAGACACAGAATCGGAAACAGGCTCCAGGCTCTGAGCCATCAGCCCAGAGCCCGACGCGGGGCTCGAACTCACAGACCGCGAGATCGTGACCTGGCTGAAGTCGGACGCTTAACCGACTGCGCCACCCAGGCGCCCCCTCATCACCTATTTAAACCATCCTCCCACCAACTTCCCCTCTGGTGACCACCAGTGTGTTCTCTATAGTTGAGTCTATTTCTTGGTTCGTCACTCTTTTTTCCTTTGTTCATCTGTTTTGTTCCTTAAATTACACATATAAGTGAAATCATATGGTATTTGTCTTTCTCTGACTGGATTATTTCACTTAGCATTATACTCTCTAGCTCCATCCATCTTGTTGCAAATGGGAAGATTTCATTATTTTTTTATGGCTGAATAATATTCCTTTGTGTATATAGGCCACATTTTCTTTATCCATTCATCCATCGATGGACATTTGGGCTCTTTCCATACTTTGGCTATTGTTGATAGTGTTGCTATAAACATGGGGGTGCATATGTCCCTTTGTAACAGCACACCTGTATCCCTTGGATAGATACCTAGTAGTGCAATTGCTGGGTCATAGGGTAGTTTTATTTTTCATTTTTTGAGGAACCTCCATACTGTTTTCCAGAGTGGCTGCACTAGTTTGCATGAGGTGCATACCCACCAACAGTGCATGAGGGTTCATTTTTCTCCACATCCTTGCCAACAACTGTAGTTTCTTGTGTTTTTGACTTTAGCCATTCTGATAGGTGTGAGGTGTTATTAGATACATAATATTTTGATGACACTATTTAGATGCAGCAATATTGGCATAACTCTTTTGATGACAACATTTTGAGCACCCTTAAAAAACCCTGTTAAACTTACAGCTTTAAAAATTATAACATTGGGGTGCCTGGGTGGTTCAGTCGGTTAAACATCCAACTTTGGCTCAGGTCATGATTTCACAGTTCGTTGGTTTGAGCCACCCATCAGGCTCTGTGCTAACAGTTCAGAGCCTGGAGCCTGGTTCAGATTCTGTGTCTCCCTCTCTCTCTGCCCCTCCCCTGCTCATGCTCTGTCTGTCTCAAAAATAAATAAAATAAACACTAAAAAAAATTAAAAAAAATAAAAATTATAATATCATGTGTAGAACAGACATTTAGTCTCACCCATCAAAACCCCACTCACAATAAGATTTTCCTTCTCCAAAGAGAGCAAAAGAAATTTTAACACCTCTGGAAAGAAAACCATAGAGGGAGAAGAATGAAAAACAAGAACCTGAGAAAATACAACTCCAAAGAAGTAGGGTATTTCAATTTTAACACTCATTCTTGTAACACCCTCATCTTTGGAAATTTTGGGGGATTCCTCTGGTTGATTTTGTGGAATATTGCTGGATGTTATGGTTCCCTTGTCCTAGCACTCTTGAGTCTATGGACAATTTGGGACAAATACCCCTAGAAGAAATTTGTATTAATAAGTATACTGGAAAATAGACTGTAATGCATATGGGCAACATTAAATGTGTAACCTGGATCAGGCAAAAAATAAAATCATTTACAGAACCAGTTTATCTCATCCAAATGTGACCCAAGCTTCCTGGGTTCTCTCTCTCTCTCTCTCTTTTTCAAACTCTCCTGAATTGTTTATGTCTATTTCTTTCTACAAACTGGTGGAGTCTCTTGAGGCCACCTGGTCTCCTGAATGCACCCTGTCAGTCTTCCATAGAGTCACCTTCTGATCATGTGTCATTGTGCTCAACAGAACTTTCTTAGTGTTGTTATTATTATTATTATTATTATTTACTAATTTTTCTCCCAACTCATTAGGAAGTGGACTTTGTGTTGTGGAAGGTTGGCATCTTTTTCTCTTTTCTTCATCTTTTTTCCTGCATAGGCCAGAGAGATTTTCTGCCTCCACTGAATTTCTTCTCCTCCGAATGAGGCCCTCAGATTTACATCTTCAAATAACAGTCTATTTTATTAATCTTGCATTACTTGCTAGTGAATTTATATAATTATAGTATAAAATATAGCTTCCATCAAACAGTAAAGTAAAAGAGATAATCAACAAGTTAGCAATTTATCAATAATTACTATATACAGTGAATGAACTAATTTTAAATGTCTGATTTGGATCCACTTTTAAGCAGATCAGATGTTAAGTAAACAAGGCACATCTGTATAGGGCAGTTCTAACAAGGAATTTAATAGAGCCACACCTTTTTAGAAAAAAAATCGTGGTCAAATATATATAACATGAACATTACCATTTTAAGAAATTTTAAATGTGCTGTGGCATTAAGTACATTCATGTGTGACTATCACTACCATCCATCTCCAGAATTTTTTATCATCCCCAAAGGAAACTCTGTACCCATGAAACACTAACTCCCCATTTCTCTCCCTACCCCCAGCCCCTGGCAACTCCATGCTACTTTCTTGTCTCTATGATTTTGACCACTTAGGTACCTCATACAAGAGGAATCATACAGCATTTGTCTTTTTGTGTGTGACTTCACTTAGCATAATGTCTATAACATTCGCAACCCTTGGTTTGCAACCCTCTTTGGAGCTTCCCAGGTGTAATCTGAAATCAGCCTCCTAGGTGGAGGGCAGGGAAAGACCAAAGAAAGCAGCAGGCCACTCCAGGATGGTAGGTGACAGTTTTAATAAGCAAAAGGAACTTACATAGGAGGCTTGCCTTTGGTGACAGCAAGACAAATAGATCCCCACACCCACCTGCCAAATCTTCAAAAGTTTATTAAGAGGCCTAACTGGGTTCAGTCATGGTATACCCCGCAGGTATTCTCAACACCACATACTATCTGAAGGCTGTGTCCTTGGAGCGCTTCTGGGAGCAGGAAAGGCAAGTGGAACCCACATTCCAAGGACAGGGGAGGGTGTGAGACTTCCAGTGCCTGGGTCCAACTCACGGGTCAAATGGCGGTCATGTCTTTTCAGTTACCTTCCCCAACACTGTTCCAAGTGCTTTTCAAATATTAATTCACATAATTATTCATCTTTGTATGTTCCCCAGGGTCTAGAAAGTACTTTGCGTGTGTTAGACATGAAATATTTGTGGAATGAATTTTGGTAGGGCTTAAGCATTTCCAAGTGACTCTGCCTGCTCTTCTGGTTGGAAAGTTAACAAAAGGAGCCGGTTTCTTCTGGGTCATAATCTGACACTAGGTCGCGAGTTTAAAGAAGCCCTTTATTTTAGCCACCACATTTAGGCTAGTTTCCCACTAAAGAAAGGTTAAGAGGGAAGTCATTCCTGAGTGATAGAAACTGTAGGAAGAGACTCAACGTTAATTAAAGGTTTCCTTTCTACGGGGACAGCGATCACCTCGGGGAAGCCTCAGGAAAAGGGAAGACCCCGAGGCCAGTTGGCTCTGACAGGTACCTCGGTGGCGGGACGGAGGAGGCGGGGCCCGAGGGGGGGCGGGACCTGCTGGGTGGGGCGGGGCCTCGGGCGGGGCCTGTGGGGCGAGGCCTGTGGGGCGGGGCGCGCGACTGCGCCGGGCGGCGATGGCGGCGGACGGGGACTGGCAGGATTTCTATGAGTTCCAGGAGCCGGCCCGGAGCCTCCAGGACCAAGAGAACTGTAACGCCAGCCCCGAGGCCGGGGCAGGGCCGGGCGGGGGAGGTGACGGCTTCCCGGCGCTGGCCTGCAGCTTGGAGGAGAAGCTGAGCCTGTGTTTCCGCCCCTCGGGTCCCGGCGCCGAGCCCCCGAGGGCGGCCGTGCGGCCCATCACCGAGCGCAGCCTCCTGCAGGGGGACGAGTGAGTGCGGGCCCGGCCGGGAGGGGGCGGGAGCCCCCCCTGCCCCTCGAGCTGCCCTCGTCCAGCTCTCGTCCAGCCCTCGTCCTGCCCTCCGGCCCTCGGTCCGCAGCCTCGGCGGGACTCCGGCCACAGGCTCCTCCCCGCGCCCTCCTTCCGCCTCCACAGACTGGCGAGTCCCCGCCCTCCCCGCTCCCCCGCTGGGCTCCTTGGGGCTTTTGGCCTCCGGGCGCTCAGCTATTTAAATCCCCGCTCCTCGGCCCTCCACGCTACTCTCTCTCCGCTACTGCCCTCCTGCTCCCTAGAAACCGACCCGGGTCTGTTTGGTTCAGAGAGGAACCTGCTTGCCCGGAGCCAGGAGTTAGAGACAGCACCTCTTCGGGCACGTGTATAGCCACTCATTCATTCAACTAGCATTAATTTAAGCTCTCAGTGCCAGAGGCTGCTTCGCCCTGGGGATACCAAGGTGACTGAACATACCCCTGTCACATAGGGCACAATTTAGGCCGGGGGGTGGACTTGCAGACAAATATTTGTATGGGTGTGACATATTCTCCTGGACGTAAGTGGAAAGTATAGGAGATTTTTTATATAGGACATGTGGGAGAGGCAGGAAAGGCTTCACGGGGTAAGAAATGTGAAAACTGGATCCTCATTGGGTGAGTGGGAGTTTGCCTGGCAGATGAAGAAAGGTCTAGCAATACAGCTCGCCGATATGGCACGTGCAAAAGTACCAGCGTTAAAGCAGCATTTATGCCACAGAATTTATTGGCTCCATCTGAGAGCCCAGGTGGAGTGCACATCACCACAGAGGCAAAAACGAAAGGAACGCACTGGTTACTAACGACAGGGATCTCTTAGTCTGGTGGGTAAACACGTACATTAACAGGTCATTAGGATAGAACCGTCTAAGTGCCATGATAGGAAATTCATAGGGATTTGTGAGAGCTGGTTAAGGGGGAGGCAGAGTTCCTGGGGGGCACTTCATTTAACTACTAGCCTAGCCTTAACTAGCCACTTAAAATTTGGCTAAGGGTTGTCGTTAGGTACCAGGGTTTCACCCCAAAAGACAGTAAAAGGGGTGGTGAGGGTGAGGGAGCTGAGCATATGGTATAGGTGGCTGGGGAGGAGCCCTGGAGAGGCTGAGGGTTCAAGTAGTGCAATAAACAGTGTGGACATGGGTGGGGTGGGTTTTTAGAGCCCTGATGGAGTGAAGAGATTAGAGGTTAGGGAAGGATTCCTGAGAGATGGAGAAGTATCCACAGGCACTGAAAGGGCCTTCCAGCCTGATTCCTCTGTGAATAAGGTAGGAAGCTTGAGAAGGATTTAGGAATGGGGGCCTTTAAACACTGCCTTGGCAGTGGTTCGGGCCCAGCTATGCTGGGGACCACATCATTTCATTGACCTGCCCGGTGTGGAGGGAAGAGTTGATGACGAATTTATACACGCATGTACGTAGCTTGTAGCAAAAGATGACATTTTTTGAAAGTCTGTTCCCAGAGAAGATAGTTTTATATATGTGTTGATTTATATATTCTGAATCACAAGGACTCAGAACATATTCTGAATTAAAAAAATGATATTTTGGGTTTTGGGTTTGTCAAGAGTGACTTCTCAAAACAGATGAGTGGTTTGTACACAAATAGTTAAGTCTTCCTATTCTTGCTTCACCTGTACTGTCTAGAAAGTAGTTTATTTTAGGGGCACCTGTGTGGCTCAGTCAGTTAAGCGTCCCACTCTTGATTTCGGCTCAGGTCATGATTTCATGAACTGAGTTTGAGCCCTGTATTGGGCTTTGCACTGACAGCCTGGAGCCTATTTGGGATTCTCTGTCTGCCTCTCTCTCTCTGCCCCTCCCTGGCTCATGCTCCATCTCTCTCTCTCTCAAAACAAACAAACTTAAAAAAAAAAAACACTAGGGGCGCCTGGGTAGCTCAGTCGATTAAGCCTCCGACTTTGGCTCAGGTCATGATCTCATGGTCCGTGAGTTCGAGCCCCGCGTCGGACTCTGGGCTGATGGCTCAGAGCCTGGAGCCTGCTTCTGATTCTGTGTCTCCCTCTCTCTCTGCCCCTCCCCCGTTCATGCTCTGTCTCTCTCTGTCTCAAAAATAAATAAACGTTAAAAAAAAAAAAACACGAAAGTAGTTTATTTTAGTCTTTGCTTAAATCTTAGGTTGATGTAAAACTTAAAAAAATAATTTTGTTACTCTTGATGATGGTTTTTAGTAGATGATATGTTGGTAGTAATGCATGATGCTTGATTTGGGAATGCATAACAAACCTCTTTCTCTCTTTTCAGGGGCTGGGGCTGGTCATCACTCACCCCTTTCTGTTGCATAAATTTCTCCATTTATGGAATCCAAAATGTCCATCCCTGCTCCTCAAACTAGAGAGAGTTGAGAATTCTTTCACTTAGATATTGCCTTGGCTTAGGGCACTTCGTTTAACTTCTCTGAGCCCCACCTTTATTTTTGGCTACATATGGATTGTACTTACCTGCTAAGATTTTACTTTAGAAAGGGTATCATGTAGGATTCGGTGTCACAGGATTTTGACCTCCTTTGACTTTGTCCTACTGGTTGTTTATGACGGGTTGTAATACTTTATGATAAGGATGAAGGCAATTCATGTCTTGACTGGAGAATTCTAGAAATCTTCCACTTAAGTCAGCCCTGTGTCCTTCCAACTACAACTGTTGTGACCTTGGTGGAGAGAGAGTACTGTTAATTGTCCTTCACTTTCTTGGAAGATCAAATTCACCCACAGTCTCTCCTAGTGGGTGAAGTATTGCGCTCCACTTGCCCTCTTACTCCAGCCTCATTTAAAAAGAAGCAAACAAGCAGTCCCCAAAACTCTGGACTGTCTTCACCTACGAGAATATCCTACTTGAGTTCCTAACCAGCGTTAGGTATATAGTCAGTTATTTGGTATCCGAAGTGCTTTTACCTAGGAAGGTGTGGGTCAAAAACTCAGCACGTTTAACAGTCCGCAACTGTTGCCTCTGATTTGAGCGCTTTGGCATTGGAGAAGGTTATGATTCGAACAGAGAGGAGAATAGGAATGAACTATGCATTTGGGAGATGTGCAGGGTAAATGAGCCAGTTTCCTAGAGCTTTTTGGGTTCACGTTTTCATTGAAGCTGATGTGCATTCCAAAGCCAGACATCATTTTGGGATTTTACGTTTTTTTGGCAGTTACCATCCCATTGCTTCTTCTGTTTAGCACCAAATCCCAAATTCATTAAATCAAGTATGTTCCTTCTTTATTTTTAAGCTTGCATTCTTATTTTTATGCCTCCAGTGGTCTTGTTTTTGTCTCTTTAGTGGCTTACACATTTGGAAAAAAAAACCCACTCAATTGTTTAATGGCTTATTCATGATTAGATATCTGCCATATATTTTAGTTTTTTTTCCCTTATGACATCTGTGTATCTCTGCCCACTAAGTCACTTATATATGTAATGTTTAACTTACCCAATTAAATTTCATCTCATTTATATCTCTAAAGTCATTCATATTTTTCATACAATGTCATGTTTGATTATGCTGATATTACTTTGGTACTGAAATCTGAATTTTGATCATGAAATTGGAGTTTGCTGTCCTTGTCTGGTGTGGCTTGGGACTTTCCTCAGCATGACTCATGTGAAATAATGCTTGGAGTAATAGAACTGGAAGGAATATCTGGCATTCTTGTCCAAGCTTCTCATTTTATAGAAGGGTTGCTCATACCTAGAGAGGTTAAGGGGCATAGCCAAAGACTCATTGTTTGAGAAAGAATGGAAACAAGAGTCTATGTTTTCTGAATTTTAGTCAAGCACCCTTTCATTTTACTCTGTTGCTTCCCCAAAATGCTGTCTGACAGTAAGGAAGGGTAATTGCATTGGATATAACCTTTGTGCATTTTATTGTGAATTCCTGTTTCTTTCCCCCTTCATTTATCTTAGTCCTTAGCCTGTTATATTACAAAATAGATATTAAACCCTAGCCTCACACTGAGACTGAATCCTTTCTCTAAAAAGGATAAAAAATTTTGGTTAGAGAAAGATGACTCACCCTATGAAATGACCAGTATATTAGGAAGTTATTGAAGAAAAATAAATGTAAAACATAGTGTGTGTACTACCTGTGTGGCTCTGTAAACATTACATAAGCTGCCTGTGTTTTAGTTTCCTCATCTGCAAAATGGGGATAATTATGATTCTTCATAATATAGTTTGTGAGGATTAGATGAGTTCATATATGTAAATTGCTTAGGACTGTGCCTGGCACCTAGAACAGTGGGAATGTTAGCTGTCAACTTGGAAAGAGTTTTTAATCACTTGATCTTGTCAGCCTGATAAGCTGATTTTCATTTAGTGTTATTTAGGAGGCCCTTCTTTTTGGTGTTTTTCTGGAAAACAGGCCTTCTGTTGTTTTGCTTTGTTATTTTTTGTTGCATCTTTCACTATAGTATTGCATGTTTATTTAATAAAAGATATGTAGGATGTTAACCTTCATTGATTGTGGTTTTCTTCTTTTTAAGGATTTGGAATGCCCTGACCGATAATTATGGGAACGTCATGCCTGTAGACTGGAAGTCATCCCATACCAGGACCTTGCATTTGCTTACACTGAACCTCTCAGAAAAAGGAGTAAGTTAAGAATTGAGCTGATAGTTTCTGACTAACTGATCCTGAGGATGGAACTAAAAAGTAGCCTTTCTATTTCACGCATGTTCATTGGGTTGCCTCTTATTTCCAAGTTTCTAGCAATTGGAGTGGCCCACTGTTGCCATCTTGGCTCCACTACTGTCAGCTTGCTAGCACTTTCCTCCAGTTCTTCCCCTGCACACACTCACTTTTGTATGTTTAGCCAAATCTTCATTACCTGTGTATGAACACCAGTGATGAGCATTTTTCTCCTGAGCTTAACTAGCATAACTTTAGTATGCTGAGAAAACTCAGTTATACATTGAGGGTACTGGAATATCAACATAGAGTTAACTTTCTGATGAATTTAAGGACTTGTTGTACATGACATGTTTTCGGAAGATTCTGTTTCTGTGAGTATTGGGGAACCTAAAAGACATTACAGGGCGCCTGGGTGGCTCAGTCAGTTAAGTGTCTGACTTCGACTGTGGTCATAATCTCGCGGTTCCTGGGTTTGAGCCCCATGTTGGGCTCTGTGCTGACAGCTCAGAGCCTGGAGCCTGCTTCAGATTCTGTGTATGTGTCTCTCTCTCTCTCTCTCTCTCTCTCTCTCTCTCTCTCTCTCTCTGCTGCACCCTGCTCACATTTTGTCTCAAAAAATAAATATACATTAAAAAAAAAGACATTACTGTTCTTGGCTAACTGAGGCTGCTTAGGATTCCTTGGTATTGTAATGTGAAGATGTCTTTTTTAAAAAAAATTTTTTTTTTCAACGTTTATTTATTTTTGGGACAGAGAGAGACAGAGCATGAACGGGGGAGGGGCAGAGAGAGAGGGAGACACAGAATTGGAAACAGGTTCCAGGCTCTGAGCCATCAGCCCAGAGCATGACGCGGGGCTCGAACTCACGGACCGCGAGATCGTGACCTGGCTGAAGTCAGACACTTAACCAACTGCGCCATCCAGGCGCCCCATAATGTGAAGATGTCTTAAGTGTGATCACAATTGATAGGACATCTGGGGTGGGAGTGTAGAAAAGGGAAGATAATTTAATGTTTATTTATTTATTTTTGAGAGAGAGAGAGAGAACACGCAAGTGGGGAGGGGCAGAGAGAGGGAGACACAGAATCCGAAGCAGGCTTTAGGCTCTGAGCTGTCAGCACAGAGCCCGATGAGGGGCTCGAATACACCAACCACGAAATCATGACCTGAGCCGAAGTTGGAAGCTTAACTGATTGAGCCACCCATGTGCCCCTAATTTTTTTTTTAATGCAGAGATTTTATTTTCTCTTTTCCTCTCCTCTCCTCTCCTCTCCTCTCCTCTCCTCTCCTCTCCTCTCCTCTCCTCTCCTCTCCTTTTCTCTTCTCTTTTAAGCTTATTTATTTTGAGAGAGAGAGTGCAAGCAGGAGAGAGTGGCAGAGGGAGACAGAGAATCTCAAGCAGGCTCCATGCTCGGCATGGAGCCCGTTGCGGGGCTCTGTTTCACGAACTGTGAGATCATGACCTAAGTTGAAATCAAGAATCAGATACTCAACTGACTGAGCCACCCAGGCGCCCCAGGAAGATAGTTGTTTTAAGTGGAAAATCACATTGTTGGTTTATCTAAAGGTGATGAGAAATGTAGCCAAATTATGTTAAGTTTCCGGGCCTGACTGTTTGAAGTTCCTTATCATGTAACAGTGTAAACTCATGCCAGATTTTTTGGCACGCTCTGTATTTCATTAAGTATAGTTGTGTAATTGAGAGTATAGTGCAGTGGGGCTGTCAGTATTTTAAATAGTATTGCTAATGTTTTATGAAAACAGTTTTCTTAAATATATGATTCAGGAAAGCCTGCTGCCATTATTTTCTAGTAAAATACAGAATTTTGCTTCTATTTCCTAGTATTCTAGTAGATACAGAAATCTTACTGTATGTTCCAGTTATTAACCCCACAAGGCTATTTTGTTGACCAACCTGGCATATGTTTAGTGAAAAGGAATAAAACAGCATACCTTATGCTCTATCTTCTGTTTATTTAGACCCTAGCTATCATTTTGGGCTTAGTTCAAGTTTCCCTTCCTCTCTGAAGCTTCCTATTACTGTTTTAGCCTTTGCTGATCTCATGGAATTATACAATTTTAGAGTTGGAAGCGACTTTAAAGGACACTTAATCCACCCTCTCACTTGGGGGGAATCCCCATCTACAGCATCTCTGACAGATGGTCATTTAGCCATGGCCTAAATCCCTGTGCGAGAGGAAAATGCACCTCTCTCTGTGGGAATCGGTTACACTGGTGGGGTTGTGAAAATCTTCAAGGACTTCTCTGTCCCACAGAGGTTAGCCCCGTCGTCTCCTGGGTACTAATCCTGACAGCACATTGTTCATGTTTCTAACCATTACTTTGTTCTCTTATTAATCATATGTTTCAGGGTCTGTCATTAGATTGTGACTTGCTGGCAGGTGTCTTTGTAATTGTGTTTTTAGTAGCTATCACTGTGCCTGGCACATAGTGACTACTAGGACAAGTTATGTTGAGTGAACGAATGTATGATCTCGTCAATGAGACCATAAGGTCAGAGACCATGATGGAAAGTTCTTTTTTAAAAAGTAGCTATTTTTATAGTATTTAACATAGTGCTAAATCCATGATAGCCAATTAATGAGTAATTTTTTGTTTGACATAATAAAATATAGCATAGAAGAGAGCCTTTCATAGTTTCAAATGGAAGTACATTGCAGGATGAATGGGACACTCTAGTTTCATTGAATAAAATGTATGTCTTGTATAGTTCTTAGATTGCACTTTAGGAAGTCACTCCCTTTTTCTGCCTTTTGGTTGTTGTTTTTAATTCCAGAATAATGGTATGGCTGAGGGTAGTTGATTAGTAACCACTTGGAGTTTAGTACTAGTAACTAATCTTAATTATAAAAACCTTATCTGGAAACCTCATCAGATTAAAGTGGACAAGCGATCATCCATCTGTCATCTATCTGTCTGATGAATAGAACTGAAATTAGAAATTAGAACTCTGTTTCTCAGGAAGGAGTGGCACACATTAAGTTCCTTAAGAACAAGTGGGCAACGCGGAACTGTATAAGAAGCAACCATCTCATTCCATTAGATAGCATATCATTACATCTTTTTTAACCTGAGTTATCTTGTTTAGCATTGTCACCTGTGCTCGATCCTTCCTGTAACTGAATCGTGTTAAATTTGCTTTTTGGAAGCATTCTTTAGTTTATTCCAATTGTAAAACAAGATCTATAGGAATTTTTTTTTTCCTTGACGAAGGGAGAAGACATTTCTTTTGCATTAGGCTGAGGAAAACCTTTAGGAAAACCACCATTTGCCAGATTTCAGCTTTTGATTTTTCTTTCATTGAGGTTTAAGATGTTTAAGACGGCATACTTCTGAATTGGATGAGTCTTTTCTGGAGTAAGGCAACTAGTACGTTCCAAATTCTTACATGGGCACATTTTTTCCATCCGAAGCAGCTTCAGTTTCATACAGGGCAGTAGAACCACCGGCTGTGTGTCTAACCTGGCACAGGAAGGAGTGATGGGAATGCTTGGCAGAGAGAAGACACACTGATGCCGAATGGGAGAGTGAATAATGACACCCATGACAGCCAAGGTTAGCTTTCAAAGCCCGAAAGGGGTTCCAGCCCTTAACATATGCCATCTCTGTGGGGAATGGACTTGGCTCAGTCCCGGGAAAGATGATCTGGGATCATTATTTCTGTTGTTATGGAAATCTATTCTAATGGGTTACTGGTATCACTTGTGTATCTTGGCAATAGCTATGAAAACGATTCTAAATCCAGTGCAGGTTTTGAACATGCTTAGATGATAGAAGGCTTCGGAATCACATTGCTTTAGGAACCTCTCCTGTGCCATCTTCCTCCTCCTGCCATGAGCATTTTTTCAGGGACGGGGAATGTTGTTGTATGCACCTTTTCATCTTCAAGAGTAGAAGCAGGAAGAAGATGATCCTATCTTCCTTAGGGGTCACTTCAAAATTAAAACTTTCTCAGGGGAAAAATAAATCTGTGGTCCTCAGATTATAATGAAGATTGATTTTGGGAAGTGTTAAAATTTAAGGACCTGTGGAGATAATTGTTAGGTCTCCTCTCCATCATCCGTACATCCTTACGACTACCGAGGCACATGTCATCTCCACTTCTATAATTTTGAAGTCAAACATTCTCCCATTTTAGTTGCTTTTTTTTTTCTTTCCAACTTTAGACTTTATCCATTTACTTTACATCCAGAGGATGAGGGTTTGGGTCTTTCTCAGTCCTCTCTCCAGCCCCCATCACCAAAACTTTCCCTTCCCTTGTCTTTCCAATATAGTTATATTAAGATATTTGGTTAAATTAATTTTAATCATTTACATTGACTGTTTAAATGTTCACAGTTGACCCATTTCCGTATATCATGAGAAATTTCCTCTTGTAATTTTTTTTCTTAGGGTAGTAATAATTGCCTTGTGTTTTATTTAAGTTACCATTAGCTCACAGGTTCAGCTTCAACAGAGCCCTGAAACTCACTTTAGTAAGTGACATACACCAGATAATCTGTTAGTGTCTGTCTCTCTTCCTCTTTGTGCTTTTCTTAACGTCCTGTGCAATAACCATTCTCATCTGACCTGGTCACTCTCTCGTTGAGCGTCACAGCCAACATTCTGGGATCTTTACTTCACTTTCATTACGAGAAAGCCCTCACCTCTTTCTTGTATTAGATCCCTTGTCTGCTTCCTTTCTGGCTTTCCTCCTGGTTTTAATGCCGCATCTTTTGCAGTAGCTGTCTGAGAAAGGGTGTGTGAGGTCAGATACTTTGAGAACTTGAATACTTGAAAATGTCTTTATTCCAAGCTCCCATCTAATTGTTTGTTTAGCTGGAGATAGGATTCTAGGGTGGAATGTATTGAAACGTGGAAATAACAGTAATCGTTTTCTGGCTTCTTTGGTTGCTGTTGAGAGTTCAAATGAAATTTTTGATTCTTGATCCTTTTAATGTGTTTTTTTTTTTTTTTTTTTACCTCTCTCTGGAAGCTTTTAGATTCTTTTTTTCATACATGGTCTGAAATTTCACAATGGCCTTTCCTAGGCCGATGGTCCGGGAAGAATAGAATGGGGAGCCATGTCATCACCGTGGTGCAGCATGGAATTGCAGTGTGTGGGGGGAGAGACCCTGGAGCACTGGCGTTGCTCCTCTCCCTGCCTGATGTTCCGAAAGGCAGCCCACCAGTGGTTCCTTGCACTTCTCACTGCGGGTTTCCTACTGGGTGGGTTGGATTCACCCTTACACTTCGGATGCTTCTGTATGAGGAACTAGGGAGGCAGTAGGGACTGCCCTGAAGTCAAGGGCGTGCTTTGATTTAGGCCATAAACTTCAGCCTCCTGAGGCCCAGAGCAGAGTGGAAAATGGCAGTGAAGCAAACAGAAACTTCCAGCACAGTTAGGTTGAAAGATCTTCTTGGAACCTAGAGAGATTTTATTTTTGGAAGGAGAGATGTTCCACTCTAAGGCAAAGTATGACCCCCGTGGACAGTGCCAGGGAGTGATTCCTGATCTTTTACCCCGAATTTAGAAGTTAGTTTGCAAGTAATTAACTTTATGTCATCTGTGTAATTTTAACATCTACTACTCTTACTATTAGATTGTTAACTAAATAACATTCGCTGCTAAACCCGCCTGTTGCCTCCTTTGGGTGTCTCTATCATTCCCTACAACTTCCTAACAAATACTGTGTAAAACATTCTTCTCCATGGAAAAAGCAGCTACGTGTGTGTCTGTATTGGGCAGTAGGGGTGCAGGCAGCATTCATGCAGGCAATTTCATGTTTCCTTTCCATTCCCCTCATTTGTGTTTGAGGTGAATACATAAAGCACTTCGTACACTGCCTAGCGCACAGTGATTGGAGTCATTTCTCCCTTTCGAGGGAAGACTCTTTACCCAGGCACTGTGACTTTGTTGTGATCAGAATGCCCTGCTTTTAACAGTGGGTTATTTTGCTTTTAGATAAGTGACAGTTTGCTCTTTGATACATCAGACGATGAGGAGCTGAGAGAACAGCTGGATATGCATTCAATCATTGTCTCCTGCGTTAATGAAGAGCCCCTCTTCACTGCAGACCAGGTATTGTGGAGAAATTCATCGAGGAAAGGAAAAGAGAACCTCGAGCTGAAGGACAATTTCCAACTGTGGCAATAAGTGTTGTTGGAATAAGGGTTGTTGGAATCTACTGATTTTTCCCGCATTTTCTGTTTATGTAGGCTTATCAGTTAACTCCTCCACTGAGAAAAGAAGAAAGTATATGTAATCCGAAGCAGATGGGATTATGCTAGTTGGGAAGATTCTTCAAGATAGGCAGTTTTCCAGTATAGACCTTGTTAAATCAGTGCAGTGAGTTATTACTCAGGGAGGGTTATTGCTTAACCTGAAATGACAAAAAATATTGTGAGTTTGGTACTTTTTTTAGGGTTGGCAAGACATGGCCAACTCTGATGTATCTGTGTAGAAATTACCCAGTTCCTCTAAAAGCCTGTGTAAAAATCATTAGTACTTATTAGAAGTGTGTACTGTGAACCCGGAAAGAAGTGAGCTTTATTCCTGTGGCATGCTCTCATAATGTCAACGCTGTGTTCATGTAAACCGCTTGAATCAGCTTTCTCATTGTCTGAATACTCTTCCCACTGCTGTTGTGTTGTCAAAATGTGGTGTAAGAACTCCTTCCTGAAATAACATGCTCGTGGCTGCTCTGACTGTGAATGCTACCACATTACATTTTTAGGCTGGAAAGATGAGGTCGGGAAAGAGATGTTATGGCAAGGATGGGAGGAGTCCATTAAAATGTGCCATTTTGATGCTCCTTAGTCATATTTGTGGTTAGATTATTGTAGGCCTGGGAAGAGTGTGGTGCTTAAAATGCCAGATAATAGGTTAGAGGGCTGTGGGAGGTTGATCATGATATCTCAGGGAAATACGTGACCCTGTGAGTTCACGGTCTCCTCAGTAATCTATCTGCCTGAATGCCGTAAGCTGTTCCTGCTTCTGAGACTTGGAGAAATAGATTCTGCAGCCTCCTCTGGCATTTCATTGTACTGTTTTATAATGCCTATTTGAGAAAATCTTCTTACTAATTACCATAATCCCCACCTCCTTCAGATTTACTTTTCTTTGCCCTTAAGCTTACTGATTCATCCTGAATGTTTTCTTAATAGTTTCTTTTTTCCTTTTTTTTTTTTTTATAACTCTTAGACCTATTTTTTCTAACTGTTGAGTAATTTTTGTGGTTTTACATTCTCACTGACTTCTGTATCCTTCTCAACTTTTAAAAAGTGGAGCAGGACAAGGTACTGTTGGAAGATTCGAGCAGCGTTGCACATGACAGTACATCATTGTCTGAAAGATGGTTCTGAAATTTTCGTGTTTTTGTGCAGCTTTTTTTCCCTTTAAGCTTCTACATGTCACGTAATTTTTGAATATCTCTTAATCTTTCATGGAATTAATATATGAAATTCCTTTTCTGCCATTAAAGGAAAATTTTACTGCTATAAAGGTAATTTCTTGCTTTATTTTTTATACTGTTGTATTTCAAACATTTTATGTCAGTTTGATTAAATGGCTTTCGATTGATTACTTGCATGTGTCATATGGTGAATTTTCTGTCATTTGCTTTCTTTTGACTGTAACGATGATCTGGTTCTAGCATGTGTAAGGTAAATTGTACCTGTGTTTTGCACCATTTCTCAGACCTTCAAGATCTGATAGATCTACTGAATCATGATGGGCATATTAAATATTATTCTGTTTAATTTTGTGTTCAGCATATTGTAAATTTTATTTCCTTGATAAACCATGTTCACTCTTAACAGTCAAAATTGTGATTATTCAGAACACCAACTCCTGCCACAGTGTTGGTTAGTGGATATTTCAGTGCCCTTCTTTTCCGGTTGCCTCATGAGTGCCATGTTGCAGAGAGATTGTTTTTCCCAAGTATATCTGATTAACAGTGGTGTGTGTATTTTGGAAGGTTATTGAAGAAATTGAAGAAATGATGCAGGAATCTCCAGACCCAGAAGATGACGAGACACCCACGCAGTCAGATCGGCTGTCGATGCTGTCCCAGGAAATCCAGACTCTTAAGAGGTCCAGTACTAGCAGTTATGAAGAGAGTAAGACACCCTCCTTCAATCCATGCTCTTTAGACTTCCTGTGCATCTCAAACCATCTCCAGAAAGCTTTCACTCCAAAGGCTAAGTTACGCACCCTTCTTCAGCCCTCTAGTAATACTCAGGCATATCTTTATCATTGCTTAGGGACTTTGTCACATTCACCTTTGAATCCTGTACTAGTCGGCTTGGGCTGTGTAACGAAGTACCACATGCCGGGGGCTTAAGCAACGGGAATTTATCCTCTCAGAGGTCTGGAGGCTAGAGGTTCAAGATGAAGGTGTTGACAGGTTTGGTTTCTTCTGGGGTCTCTCTCCTTGGCTTGTAGATGTCTTCTCTCTGTCCTCTCGTGGTCTTCTCTTTGCATGTATCTCTGTCCTAATCTTGTCATTTTATAAGGACACCACTCACACTGGATTAGAGCCCACCCTAACAACCTCATTTTAACTTAATTATCTTTGTAAAGACCCCATCTCCAAATACAGTCACACTCTGAGGTCCTGGGTGTTGAGACTTTAGTGACATCATAGCCTCACATGAGGAGAAGTGCTGAGAAAAATCTGAAGTGGGCTTTAGGGAGTAGGCCTTCCTTCTTTCTTCCCAGTCTTCAAAAAAATTCACACATTGGGCCATATGTGATTAAATATGTATTTAGTTTAATTGTTTCAAATCGACTTCTGTCTTTTGAAGTGTGCTAGAACCCTGCTAAGTTGCTTGCAGTTTCTTGTCAGCAGGTAGTTTGGGTACTCTCCCTCAGCTTTTGTGTTTGTTCTGTTTCTTGTTCAAGCTTTTTTTAGTCTTGACTGGAGTGCTGTTGGTGGGATGATTGAGTTAGACAAGTAAAGAATGTTGTTACACTTCTCAGCCTCTTGAGAAGTAACTTTGCTGCCTACCTCTGCTCAGTCCTGCCCACCAGAAGTTTGAGGATTAGGAGAAGATTGTGAACAGTTTCATTGCTTAGAGTATGGTGTCTGCTCTTTTGGCACGAAACCCCCTGTTGTGCTCGTCTCCCGAAACATTTTTGTCTTAGTATCTGCTGTGCTTTGCTTCTGGCCGCAGGAGTAAAAAGGCTCTCGGTATCTGAATTAAATGAACTACTGGAAGAAATTGAGACTGCCATCAAGGAATACTCTGAGGAGCTGGTGCAGCAGCTGGCCCTGCGAGATGAACTGGAGTTCGAAAAGGAAGTGAAAAACAGCTTCATTTCTGTTCTCATTGAAGTGCAGAACAAACAGAAAGAGCACAAAGAAACAGCCAAAAAGAAAAAGAAACTCAAGAACGGCAGCTCTCAGAATGGGAAGAACGAGAGAAGTCATATGCCCGGCACAGTAAGTGGTGTTTTGCAGGAGTCCTTGAGCACTGGGAAGCTGCTTCCGTGGTGGTCCCAGTGCTCCAGGCCCCAGGCAGGCAGGCGGCGCCTACGCATGCGAGTGCTTCTCACTGCGGCGCCCACAGGTTCTGGTGGAGAATGCCACTGTGCTCAGCAGTTTCAGAAAGGGGTTCTCTGGGTGAGGACACAGTGGTTTTCTGGGTATGGTCAGGGGAGAAGTAAGTGGAAGGAAGAGGAGGAGGAAAGAAGGAGGGTGTCTTAAAGGTATCAAAGCATTAACGGTGATTATGTTTGGCTGGTGGGCGTATGAATGGTATTATTTTCTTATTTTTGCTCATCTTGCAGGAGTCGTATAATAAACAATTAAAAGGGGGTGCCTGTAAGGGTTGCTGAACTGTGCTGAGCCTGAAAGCACAGACTGATTCACAGTCAGATTCCTCCTGATTTATCAGCGAAGTTGGAACATGAAGGCATTGGAGGCAGTTATGTGACATCAGCCATTTGCCTGAGTGTTTGGCAGATTAGAATATTTCTGACCGGGGACGAAAAAGTTGAGAATATGTGCATCTTTGACTCTTCATGTAAAATTTCTTGTTTTCTGCTTTGTCAGTTTTCTTAAGTGGTCCTCTTAGTTTCACGTGATTAAAATCCATCATAAACATTCACTAATTAATTTTATGAGATGTGTTTCTTTATTGGTCTTAGGGCCATTTCATTTTTTTTTTGATCATTTGAGGCCTTATATGTTGCCACCTTCGTATTATTTGTGAAGAAATGTCAGTTTTGTTTTTTTGGACTATAATGGTTCTCCAGAGGGATCCATTTTTCTAAGAGGAATGTCCCTTTTTCATTCTTGATACTGATAACCTGGTAATACGAATTATCACAAACTAGCTATTATGGTTTGTAATAATGTAAGTTCTGCCTTTAAGTCTTGATTTGTTTTTTTCTAAAGAATACTTATATCAGAGAAGTAGTTCTCACTAACCAGCCTCTCATGGAATCCAGGAAAGAGAATGCAGTTCTGGGTTGCTGGGTCACCAATGAGCAGTTGATACAAACAAAGAGATCTCGCCGTTTAGCCCATTCATTGTCTGCTTGGGCCTGTGAGTAAATACATGGTCTTAGTGTGATGTCCACTTGTGTATAGAAAGGACATAGCTTCAAAACATTTGTTTGAATATACAGTTCTGGAAAGTGTGCTTTAAATTTCTGGAGCAAAATTTGGATGTCATATTTTTAAAAACATTGCACCTTTAACTTGCCCTATTATACAAGTGTGATTAAATGAAATGCTTAGTCAAAAAGTCATAGCGTGGTTGGTAATTTCTGTCTGTCTGCTTTTAGGAATTACATGTAAACCCTCCATTTATTGGTGTTAACACTTGGCTGAAGAAAATAAATTTGTCCCTAGAGGGGTTTAAAGGCTTCTTTTTGTAACTCCTATATAAAAAGGGTTAGAGTGGATTCACTGTGTAATTGTACATGGCATTTATATTGAGAAATGGATTTGGCAAGGCAAGATTTAGCTCTTACTCGAACCTTTATGAGTCATGAAATAGATTCATAGTAAAAGTCCATTTTTTTCACAGTATTTGGACCTGCGAAGTTGCTTCTGGAGTCCTGATCTACTATTTGTAACAAAACCTTTAATCAGGTTACTGATGGCCTTGCTGAGCTCGTGGTACTGGTTCCCTCTAAGCTGGAGAAAGACCATCCCATCTGTGACTCAAGGAGCCTGAAACCTATGATTCTGAAAATAGTGGTGGGTGGCTCAAAAGAACCTTAAAGTGAAGTGGCCAATTGGATAAACAGATTGCAAAGGATAGTACTTTGTTAGGCACTTTATAGAACACATGGTTTGGGCAGAGCCTGATCTCTAAGAGTTAGTTATCAGTGACACAAATTTCTAAAAATTGGTGACCTTCTTACAGATCCCATGTATTACCTGCTTTCTAACAACATTGGTCGCGTTTTTCTTTTTGCCATAGATATTTTTGTTTTATTAGCAGGACGTGGTTTTCTTTCCTTAAGCATGGAGTAGCCTTCCTTCCATTTTTCCTTAAACATGTTTCACTGAAACAAAACATCAGTTTGTAGTTGGTATAACCCTCTATCCATGTTTGCTAGCTGTTTGTTTTGGTCCAAAGATACTGTAATGAAATATCTGGGTGGGACTAGAGCAGAGTTAAACTATTTAGGTGTTAATACTTGGAGACATTTTGTTTCAAACATTTTCTGTAGGGAAAAAAAAATTGGGGGCTGAGGGATGCTATTTAGATTGAGCACTAGACAGTTTTGGGGAGACAATTGGGGAGGGGCGTAGAAATACTATTAAATATAAAGTATTGAGTATCTTATACAAGTGAAATCTTATCTTGCTTTGTTTTAATTTTTAAAATCTGCATGTTGGATAAGACAAAGAAATATCCATTCAGCAAATGAATGAATAGGAGTGTAAGAAACAAAGACTAGACAGTGTAATTTCTGGTAGTAATAAATGCCACCAAGACAATAAAAGGCTGGGTAAGGCGGTCGGTAGCAAAGCTGCCAGAGAACTGTTTTCTGTAGGGTGGTCACTATGTCACTGCTCCTCCTGATGGGCAAGGTCGGTTGTCCTGTCCTTTTCCAGGTCTCTGTTTGGAGAGGAGGTTGGAGGATGGTTCTTCTCTTTAGGAAATGAGACTTAAGAGAGCAGAAAACTGTATCTCCTATGTCCTGTTGTTCAGCATCAGGAGAAAGAGAGCAGTGGGAGTGGAGATTGGAATGGTTGACGGGTACTGTCTGTTAATCACTGTGATGACCTGTGTGCATTTCTTTGAACTGACTGTGCTCTTTGGGCCTTGGTGCTTTTATATGTGCCCTTTCCTTTTCTGGAGAGCCCCGCTTTTCCTGTTTCCCCCAGTCCACTTGGAGGACTTTTTTTTTTTTTTTAAGTCGACCTTTAAGCATTGTCTTCCTTTCTTAGAGCCTTCCTCGGTGACTCTTCCGCCAATGCAGAATTGACTAGTCTCTCCTTTTGGGGTTAGTATTATTCCTTGTGACTATTTCTTTTGTCACGGTCACACAGGACTGCAGGTTTTTTTGTTTTCATGTCTGTCTCTGTCAGGTTCCCTAAGGATAGGAAATGTAACTTTATCTTCTTTTATATCCTTAAGTGTAACATTAAGTACTCATTTTTCTGCTGAATAAATGTGTGAAAGAAAAATAAACTTGCAAATCTGTATTTCTACCTTGGAATTTTCTGTCAGGTGTCAAACCCATGGAGGCTGAGTAGCCTATTGATTAAGAACTTTGGGGGAAGAGCTGTGTTTGAATCCTGCTCCTGTCACTGAGTACATCTATCTCCCTTTGAGTTTTGGGAGGACTAAATGAAATAATGTGTGTTAAGACTAGCATATATCCTGAGTAAATGCTAGTTATTATATGTCCAACTGCCTACTAGCTGGTTGTCTCTGGAATTTATCAAACTAAAGTTACCATTTTCCTAAGGTTGAATGTAGTTCTTATATATTTTTCTTTTGGTTAGTGGAACAGTCTACTCATTCACTGATATCCGTGGAATTTCTGAGTCAAAGGATGTACAGTTTTGGAGTGTTTTCAAATTGTTCTACAGAAATGAACCTAGTAATAGTGTGAGTGAGCGACCATTTCCCCACACTTCCAGCCAACAACGGATATTATTAGCCTTCCGATCTTTTGTTGATCTGAAAGGCAAATAATGGTTTGATCCGTTGACTTCTGTATTCTCTTGTGAGTTGCCTATTAAGTCACATAAGAGATGTTTTTCATATTTATGAGGTACACATACTTTTAATCTCATAGTATCATAATTTATCATCATCAGCCTTCCCAAAGGCTCATTCACATTGTTTCATTGTTCAGCATCTCACCTAATTTTTGCTACTTTGCACATCACGTAATGCCTGTTTGTTGAATTGAAACTTCACTATAAAGGAGATACAATCCCAGAGGACTTGGAGTTGTCATATTTGAATTATTGTTCTATCAGGTGGTCTTTTAAATTTTTTTTTTTTCAATCTTCTGTTTGTATTGAATAGAGTCACAGATTATTGAATTTCAGTGGCAGTTCCCATGAGTACAAGAACAAGTCCAAGTATACCAGTTACATTTTGTTTTTTAAATTTTATTTTTAAAAAGTATTTATTTATTTTGAGAGAGAGAGTGGGTGGGAGAGAGAGACCGAGAGAGAGGGAGAGCGAGTGAACCCCAAGCAGGCTCCACACTGTCAGTGCAGAGCCCGATGTGGGGCTTGAACTCATGAACTGTGAGATCATGACCGAGCTGAAATCAAGAGTCAGACACTCAACTGGCTGAGCCACCCAGGCATCCCACTAGGTATGTTTTAATTTAGCAGTGGTTGTCACCTAGAGTTACCTGAAGTTGTAAAGATATTAATGGGTACTCGCTTGGCATCATACCTCGGCGTATGGATGAAATGGCCATATTTCCTCCTTTAGAATCCAGTAATGTTTTTAAATTAAAAGTCACATGTAAGGTTATGTATTCTAAGTCTAGGGTTGCGAAGATAGGAATGAATAGTTTTCTGTTTGCCATAATCACATTGAACTTTCAAGAGCGAGTTCTCATGTGTTGGACTTAGCACCAGCAAAAATGTATAATTGCTTCAGTATAACCCGAAGAAGTTTATTTTGAAAACTCGTGGGGTATTAGGAATCAGTAACTCTGTTGTGAAAAGAATCATATTGCCCTGGTCTGTTGCTTTTGGGGGTCGGGGAGATAACTGCTTCAAGATGGGGGACAGCTAGGGCTTGGATGATAGATACTCTTTCTTATATCTTTCTTTCACAGATGCATTGCTCTGTATTTATGAGTCATTTAGCTCAGATTATGATGAATAGTCAAATCTATTTTGTTTCTCTTTTGCATGCAAAAATGCACCAGTAATAGTTTTCATTTAATCTTCACCAAAGCTGACTTTAAGGTAAGAGAAATTTATTTTCATTTAGATAGCTC